AGTAATTAAAACCATGGTATTCCTAAAAACTGTAGTATATTTAAAATACATAAAAAATACTGAGCTACCAAACATGGCCTTAGTGTTTTTTGCAACTGTGGGTTTTTCGGCATAGTGCATTCTGTCATGTTTTGTAAAGTGGTGTTTTTCACTAATGATGATACGATTGTGGTGGTTATATGCATTTTACTTTCAGTGTTACCCCATGGTTCAGGATTCTTTATGTTTTGTTGCACATATCCCAAGAACAAAAACCTAGCTTCTGTGTTCCTGCAACCCGCTCCTAATGGTGCTACTTTTAGAACATTTAACTTTGTTGGCCCGGTCTTTTGTCCACCAATGCCCAGAGTTAAGTAGTATGGCTATGGCTCTCGGAACGCGCTCGCGGCGGGCGTGCTCGCGACGGCGCCGCCCTGATCTCTTCCCTCCGGCCGTCCCTGTATCAGGCTCGACCAGATCCGGGATCCTCGTCGAGCCCTCTCTTCGCCGCTGTCCTTCTTCCGCGAAGCTCCCTCGTGCTCCTCCGCCTCCCGCCCGTCAGCTACGTCGGCCTCGACCCGACGCGATGGCTCCTTGTCCGCTCCCCCGGCCTGCGTCCGCGTCGGCGGCGGCTGCAGCTGCCTCTCCGGCCTTGCTGCGCGTTGGCTCTGCGTCCGCGTCGGCTGCTGCCGCTCCAGCCGAGGTGAGCGCCGGCTCTGCGCCCCTGTGGGAGGCGGCGGCCGCCGCGGCCTTGCTGGGCGTCGCCTCGGCATCCGAGCCGCCCCTGTTCGTCGTCCCGGCATCCCAGACGACCTCGATGCTGCTGCCGTCTGCCTTGCCCGGCGACCCGTCTGGTCCGGGCGATGTGGTGATGCCCGTCACAGTGCAGGGAGCTCCCAATGCTCTGGCAGCAACCTCCCAATGCAGTCTGCAGCTCGTCCCAATCGCTCCACTTGCGCCGCTTCAGACGTCGACTGCATCGCCCACCGCCGCCGCTCTAGCGGCGGATGCCCTTGCTCGGCGCAGGTCGGACCCGGCCATTAGTGGGCTTATGGCCGGTGCTCGTCCCAATTGTGGTCGTGGCCTGCAGGCCACCACCCCGGCTCCTCTTGCCACCGGCCAGCTGTCGTCGTCCCCGGTGTCGACGCCTACACCCTTGACGGGGCCAGGTCAGGTGGCCGCTCCCGTGCTGTCTGGTTGGGGGGACTGGCTAGGATGCTTCGGAAGGAAGACGACGTCCGCTGATCCCATGTGTTGTGCGCCAACAGCTCGTGAGGAAACATTGGGAGACTGGCACCTCGTTACCGGCCGCCGCCGTTCGCCATCTTCAAATGCCTTCCGTCGGCCCGGTTCCAATGCCCGGATGGCTCCTCCGGCGTGGCTCCGGGATCGATGCTTTCGGTGTCTCTCCAAAGGTCATCACGCTCACTCTTGCAGGGACCCAATTCGGTGCTCAGGATGCCTTCGTTTCGGCCACAAAGTGCGTTTTTGTCATGCTCAGCACCGATCCGATCTGACTACAAAGCCGCGTGATGATGCTGCAAAGCCTAACCCAGCGCCTGCATCGGAGGTTGACGCAACACCGGTTGACGTGCAATTGCAACCCGTCCTAGCGGAGGAGACCGAGATGCTTCGCACTGAGCTGCGCGACTGCCTTGCGCGAGTTGAGAGTGTTTTGGGGAGAGCAGAGGCTGCTCTCGCCAAACTAGAGGTTGTGCCAGCTGTGTCCTCACTTCCTGAGCTTCAGATCGGGTCTCCTGTTGGGGAGGAAGCAAGCCTCTATGGACATTTCTCCCCTCGTGCTACATCATGTTCGCCGATGTCTGTACTGCTCACTGGCCCTGGGTGTGTAGTCATCGATGAGGTCATGGCTCCAGTGCTGGAGATTATGCCTGAGTTGCAGGAGCGTTGTGGGGAGCCTACTTCACCTCTTTCAATGGTGCTTCCGAAGGAGATGGGGCAGGTGATGTCTGTGGGTGGCGAGGTTGATGAGGTAGGTGCGTTGGCACCTATCTCTGGGGCGCAACTACAGGGTTTGCCTCTGCCATGTGTGCAACTGAAGGCGCCTGAGTCCATTGTGTCGGTGGTACCCGTGGCTGAGCATGTTAATGCAGTGGTGTCTGTGAGGGACAAGGTTGATGAGATTCTATTTGAGATACAAGTCAGCAGCTTGCTCGCACGTTTGGAGGCGGTCAGCCCTGGATCTGGCAAGATGATTGTGGAGAAGGCTCTCAGGAGCAAAACTAAGTAGAGTGACGTCACAGGAAAGGCGTCTGCAGCTGCTTGATGGATATTCATCAGTCTATTGGACGGTCCATATGGTCTGGTTTGTGTTTGTCTATGTGGATTTGGCGGTGTTTGTGGACTTCGGCGGAGGTGCTCTTGTTAGGGGTTTGTTTGCGATGTAGTAGTTTGGAGGTTGATGGTCGTTCCATGTTGGGTTTGTTTGTAGGGCTGATCGTGCGCTTCTGGAGTTGTATGCTCTGTGAGTAATCCGCATGTGGTTAGTTTGTATCGGTTTTCGCTCGGTTTTCCGTTAATTAACTGAGCAATTCTCTTCTACTTAATTAATCGATGAAGCAAATCTTTTGCCTCCGTTTCAAAAAAAAACTTTATTGGGCTCTGAATTTATGTAACATGTTTTATTTTATTTTTAAAACAGAGGCAAAAGATTTGTCTCATCCATTAATTAAGCAGAAGAGAGTTGTCTGGTTAATTAACAAAAAACAGACTAAAACCGTCACAAACCGCCGAGCGGCACACAAAAGATACTCCACACACACCTCAACAAGGAGGGCCCCATCAAGATACACTCGGACGTCATCGTCATCACTTCTCCCCAAGAGGTGACATCGCCCTCCCTAAACTCTGAGCAAGCGACTTCGACTTTGCCAAAGACGAACCTCGACCCCGCCCTCACCGTAGAGATTGTGTGGAAACACAAGCAGACCCGTGCCAGACCCAGCCACCCGCACCGAAGGCAGCGCAGCTCCTACTCAAATGGATAGCTCCGAAAGAGAACTATGCACGGCTGGCGCCATGGGAGACCACCGAACAGACCATCTGTTGCCTGTCATCGTTGCCGCAGGGGCCCCGCTGCCGCAGCTCCGACTTCACCACAACAAAACAACCCGAAGTAATCGCACGGACACGCTGAAGAAGAGCCGGCTACCACAACCGTTGCCACACCTCCGACTTCGCTCGCCATCGAACACATTTTATGTATGAACAAGGTTTATGTTGGTATTTTCATTTTGTTCGTCATCATTCTTCGATCTTTGGTTGTGGTTATTCTAGATGTCCAGCTTCTTATCCCTTTGGACATCACAACGATATGTTTTCATTCGCAAAGTGCGGGCACATTATTAGTGGGGCGTTAATTCCTGAAGGAAGTTTTGAGAGGTTAAATTTTCCTTCCGTGTCCTTCAAAAAGGAAAGCACTACGGCAGTACCCCCTTCCGGCTCCGGCGAACAGTCACATAGGTAACCCTCTGTCTCGCCTCACCTGGTCGGCAGGTTTTGATTCCCGTCGACTGGAGGACAACCTTCTGTAAAATTAGCAAATCCAAAAACAAACAAAAAAGGCCAGGGATTCTGGGCGATCAAGGAAGCAAACTTCCAGCTGATTTTAAAGTGTCAAACCGCATGATTCTGCTTCGGTGTCAGATTAACGTTCGTTCTCGAAGAGAAAACATGGTTCATGCGCATGAGGTGTACATGACCAAAATTCAAGTTTTTTTTTTTTGAGCAAAACCAAAGTCCAAGTGTACATGAAAAATGGAGATCATTAGTTCATAAGGTAGTGTTACAAAACCATGGCACTCTAGATGGCATTTACGCACAGCACATGGCAGAGATGAATAGGCCGAGCTAGGGAGGTGAGAGTCGGGCGGCTTACTACGGCCTTGAGTTGGCCGGCGATGCCGATCGCGCTGCATAGACATGAGCCGACTGATGAGTGCCAGCAGCCCCATGGTGGCGCGACGACGCCAGGTTCCAGCGCACAGATCAGGCGGAGCGATTACCTTTCTCGGCTGCTGCATGTAATCTTAGTTAACATATATAAACCTCTATCTGTTTATTTGTTTTTGTTTTTTCGCATCGGCACCGCCCGGAGAGGCAGCCTAGCCAAACATGGGACGGGAGCAAACCGGAGACTCCATCGCACACGCGGAGTAAACGTTACGCCGTTAATCGCACAAGCTGCCGTCATGAACGAACGACGCCAGCGTACTCTGATTTCTTCATTGTTCGCAGATGTGTCGTTACCCAAGCATTGTGGCGAGGTGTGAGTCATCTCGGCACCTATACAGACGGTACGTACGTGCCAATCAGATTACAGCGTTTTAACCGAAGCTGCTAACGTTGCTTCTTCGTGCGCACTGCTTCAGAGCGAAGGCGCGAGGAGCGACAGTGTCCCAGCCAGAAAATGATGCGGTTCAAATGTGAATATGAATACCACCCCAAGCTCCCACGTGATATCCATTCCATCTTTTAATCCCGTCTATGTACAAATATTTACAGCGCCAGAATCAACTTGCACTTCTAAAGCAAGTATCTTCATCACCTCTTCCACCAAATGGGCGGTCCTACCTTGTATTCCAAATGGCTGGTCAGGGGAAATCTCCAAAATACCTACCTACGTCACAAGAACTTGTCTCACAAAATCAGTTGACATGTCAGCTTTAGTAACTAACAATTCAAGCACCGCTACGGGCCTTGGCTGCACACCTCAAGGCAGCCACAGTATTCCGCGGTCAGCGCATCATCATGTTAAAAGCTGCTAAAGGATCATCCACTACCACCTTCACGGATAACAATATTAGCTTCCGGTGAATGGCCAGCATAAACACCTGTAGTAAATGACGATGCCAGTATACACATTAACAGAAGTAAACATGATAGGAGTGCAAGTATGTTTATGGACAGATCTTCCAAGACTCGCAAGCAAAAAAAACAGCTCTGCATTTTGTTTCAGAAAACATAAGGTAGTATGATGAACTTGCCTTTGCTACATGGTCTCATTTTTGTTTCTTCTTAGGCTTCTTTGATGATATAAGAGCTGAGGAAAGTAAAGATTCAACGTCCTCCCTTTGACGCTTCCTCGCTGCAATTTGGTCCTTTTGACTAGTTACAGTTTGCTTAGCAGCTTGGCTTGTCGTGAGGTCCCGTATATGGCTGCTTGTTCCATCAAAATGTGATGAAACTGATGGATCCACCTGATTCGAGTTCCCAGATCTTGGTTGTTCAGTAAACTTCCTTGCCCCCTTGACCTTATTTTTCTTCATATCAGGGATTGTTGGTGGACCAGTACCACTGTTCCTATTTGCTAATTCCGAAACTGCGTCATGTTTAAGCAAGGAACCCTCTTTGTTTGAATTACTGAACCTTGGTGTTTCAGAAAACTTCCTTGCTCCTTTAGCCTTTTGTATCAAATTCTGCATTTCACGGTGTTGTGCTGATGAAGAACCATCATCCTGCTTGGCCGCTGATTTTACAACAGACTCATGTTTTGACGAACCCTTGATGGTTCCCATATCATTGTTTTGGTTGGCAGCCTTTTTGTCGTTATGATGTAACCTCACCTTGGGATTCTCAGATGGACCATGCTTAAATAAGGCCTTATCAGTTACCATATCAGCATTCCCATTAACAGGCTTATTCAATTCCCTTTGTCTTCGGACACGAGAGCCATCATGGGGATCCCCTGTTGCCAACCTTTTAGCAAGCTCCAGCTGATTTACATCCTGCACGGACAACTTCTTTTCTGCCCCTTGCTTTCTTATCACCGAATCCTGATCAATATCTTGTTTCAATGAGCCCTTGGTAACTCTCATATCATCATTCTGCGTTCTCGCTTCATTTTCTTGACTCAATTTTCTCAAGGTGGAGGCTTCAGTTTTACGAGTCTTTTGATCCCAGCGTGATGCTTGTTTTGCCTGATCCTCACGTAAACTTTTACCTTTCTTTTCTGTAGCACTGTCAGCAAGTCTCACATGTTCTTTATGGAGTTGTGCATTGACTGTCCACGAATTTGTCATATCAGCCTTTTCATTTTCCTTCTGCTGCTTAAGGTGACTATGGGTAGTACCATGAACATTTTGAAAGATCAGACTATAGGGCTTCTGAACTGAGATGAGCATATTCCGTTCTTTAGCATTCTGTAATAAGGAAGCCCAGTGTGAATTTGTCTGCAATGTTCTTGCGTTACCAACTATCCATAGAGAAAACCTGGCACGTGTTAGCGCAACATTCATACGCCTAACATCTGCAACAAACCCAATGCTACGTGCTTCACCAGTGTGATGCCTGTCACCTGAGGAGTTGGAGGCTCTAACAGTTGACAACACCAAGATGTCAACTTCCCGACCTTGAAATCCATCCACAGTATTGATTTCCATCTCAGCAACAATTTCAGGCCCAAAAAAAGATGTGAACCTTGAACGCAGCAAGGAGAGTTGACTCCTGTACGGAGTTATGATCCCTATCTTTCTACAGGAGAAATCTGCTGGATATCTGTTCACAAAGCAAGTATAGAACCTCAGTTACCTGCAAAATAAGACCCCCTCCAGTAGGCAGTGAAACTGTGAAAGCAAAGACAATACTCTTACCTGTTCTTTAAAAATGACAGTATTTCAAGTGCTGCATCAGCTTCAAATTGATTAGAGAGTGATTGTGCAGCAGCACTTGTTCCAGAACGCTCACGACCATCGGCAATATCAAAGAACATGTATGCACCAAGACAACTGTGATCATGGAAAGGAGCTGATTTCTCAGCCTTCTGAGCACCATCCAGCAGTTTGTTTTCATAGAAATGCAACGACGGGAATCTGCTAATGTCAGGATGCATTCGGTACTGCAGACAATACAAAATAATAGAGGAGAAATTAGCATACGGCCTGCAGTTGATAGCTCTTCTCAGTTTTCACATACAAATTTAGTAATCCATTAAGAATTGCATACTCAAACAAGACACAGGAAATATGTATGGGCTATATTCATAACTTAAGAAAAACCTGCAGAGCTTGTTACTTGCAATCATGTTAATGAGGTTGCTATAGTTTTCACATAAAATTGTATAAGGTTGCTCATCATTGGAACCAGACCATTTTTAGGACATAAAACTAAAAAGATATGGCACATAGAAAACTAAAATCCAAGAATTACAACATAGTTTGGCATGCTCTTTAATAAGTAACATCCAGGAAAGTAGTAAATAGCCTACTTAGTGCCAATGAGGCAAAATGCTGAAGGTATGAATCTCAAGAACAGGACTCCTGAAAATCAACCATTTTAGTGATCCCAACATAGTAGATAAGATCTCTAAAAGGATTTTAACTGATTTTTAGTGGTCTTTCACTCCACTGAGAAGTTTACGGAGAAAGCATATGCAGGAGTTATGACTAACCTGTTTACTGAGCATAATAACTGGATAACCAGCTCTTTGTAGGCGTTCAAACATGCTGCACTCATAGAGAAACTTGCTAGCCAATCCAGACATCACGGTAGCAGGTAGCTGCTTCGGATCACCAACCTTCAAAAGAGACATTACTAAGTAAGAGATAGCACTGTAATGTTGCTTCAAGGTGTAGCTAAAAAATATTGTATAATCAGAAATATCTTAAAAGAGAGCATGCTACCATTATGCACTTAGTTCCTTTCGACTTGAGTAGCTGAAGTGGAATCAAAGTTGCAGGCTCAAGAGCCTAAATATGAGTAAACCAAAAGAAGCTTAGTGTTTAGCATATAATAAATATTAAATATAAAGCTAGCTTGATTTGAAAGAGGACAGTTAGTATTGAGAGTCTGAGATCCCACCTGTGCAGCTTCATCGATAACAACAACATCAAACAAAGCTTGCTCAGAGAAATTCCCATATTTCTTAGCTGAAGCAGTTTCCGAGCAAACTCCGTAAATATCACCTCCACACCCACTGAGCGTTGTCACAACAATCTCTGCTTCTCCGAGAATTGACTTCCTTACCTTGTGCTTAAGAGACTTGTTTTCATCAGCTATTTTCTTTTCACGTGCATGAGCAGTGGCAAGTTCTGAAGAAACTGCCCTTTTCTGTGTATATAAAATATTGAGCTTTGCACCAATTGCTTCATCAGAAACTTCATCCATCTCATCTTCATCGGGCACAGAAGATCCAGTTTCTGTCTTATCACCCTCCACTAGTTTTCGCCGTGACTCATAATATCTAATTCTGTCTACAACCTTCTCCAACCTAGCCCTGAGTGAACCAGACGATTCGCCATCGGATGAAATTTTGGATTCATCATTAATCTTTAACTCGTCTGACAACCTTTGTTCAACAAGTGTGTCAATAAAGAAAGGAATTGAATTAGGATGAACTGTCTTTGCATTACCAACCCTCACTATATAAGGTCTATACAGCTTTCCTTCAGTATCATACAATCCATTACTGAGTCTTGACACAAGTTCATCAACTGCAGCATTTGACTGCGCACATACTAGAGCCCTTCCTCTTGAAAGGATGCCTTTTGAAAGCCGTTCTGTCCTCGGGTTTTCTCTCTGGGAATCCTTTATCTGTTGTTTAGCCAGGGCTGCATCCTGCCAAGCTCTAGCTACTGCAGCAGTTTGACTAATCTTTGTTCTTGGCTTGGTAAATTCAGCACTAGCCAGCGATTCATTTCTTGGTAAATTGTAAGAGTTGTCGGCATGTAAAGAAAGCAATGCACTCACGATCGCAACAATAGTTTTTGTTTTACCTGTACCTGCAGGAAACGCAAGCATAAAAGATTACCTTTTCTGGTGGCTAAACTTACTAAAAATTGTGAATAGGGATCAAAACGACAAACCTGGAGGGCCCTGAATAAGAGACAGATCACATTTTGTTTTCGAGCTTGCTGACCCAATGGCAATACTTACAGCTTGGAGCTGGCTGTCATTGTAAGAAGACTTCAATACTTTCCGCAGAGGGCGTGCAAGTTTATCAAGATACACTTTTACAGATTCATGGTTGGTTGCAGTACATGAAACAGGATTCAGGATTACTGGAAGCACTGGGATGTCATTTAATGATGAGAGAGCACTGAATTCTCGGAGTTGAGGAGTCATGCTCAAAACCCGATTCAAGAACCATTTACTTCTTTCAACAAGAAGCCGTTTCACTTTATTTAAACGTGGAATCTCATTCGAGAGGTAGAACTTTATTACAATAATTAAAGCCTTATTTTTGTCACTCTCACGCCGATCCACCTAGAGAACAGTAAATACATTAGGAAAGACCTACAAAATTAGGTTATTAGAACATTGAACTTTTGTGCGCAACAGTAATACCTTTCCAAGCACATGGACTTGCTGACCAGAGCTTTTCAGTGGATCCTTGGTAAGCAGTATTAGATCATTCTCTATACACCCTTTAGATTTGACACACACTGTGTTCTCAGCACGCCCACGAACAACAAGAAACTCATCAACTCTTTCAACTGAGAGTATAGAAATAGAGCCGCACATCATATCTTCAGGAGGGGTTTCAACATAAGCATTCTGCAACTGAGCTTTGAACTCTTCTATAACAAGTGGCTGGAAAATCTCAACATATTGAACTTGTGAATCAAAGCAGACAGGAATTTGTTTTAAAGCAGGTTTCTTTACTGTCTCTGAAGAAGATAGCCCGACAATAGCAAAGTAATCCATTTCCAATATATTCTTAAACCAACTGTCCAGCTTAGGAGGACTAAAACGTCGGAAACTGGTATCCGATCTACCAGAAGACTGTCTCCTTTCAGCAGGCAACTGAAGTTGAACTATTTGCCTTTTAGGAATTAATATGGCAGACTTTGTTACACGAATTTGTGGTCTTCTGTAATTATCAAGTGCATGCTCTAAGGGATCATCTTCATCATCAGATATATCTCTGAAAATTGACTTAAATTTGCATACATCCGATGACAAATTTGGACGGGATGGTTGAGTAGTGGCGCTAACAGATGATTTAACCTTGTTTGGTAAAAGGGAAGTACTATTTTTATTGGCTGGAACACTTGGCATCTTTGTTCCACCTAATCCTTTTGAGGCAGCACGTGTGCCTCTATTCTCCGTCGATACAGGTCTTGAAGAGGCACTAACATCACTACGTGTCTGCTGTTTTAAGAACACATGTTTATCTTCAACTGGCATTGTTTGTACAGAGGGATTTTTTAACAGATCGGAAGCAGTAAATCCGTCATTCTCCTTCACTGAAGACAAAACCTCCTCACCAATGACATCATCTGTAGGCAAATTTTCTTCACTGTCCGAAAGAAGAATTATGTGTTCGGTGTCTGACGCGTGAGAGGGCTTCATGGTCTCAAGATTGTCCCGACCAGTATGTCTCTCCTGATCTGCGTGCCTAATCAGAGAAGGAATGGTTTCAACTGATTTTGTGGGCACCTTCTTGAACACCGCAAGATTAAGATTAGAAATTCTCCCTTTAAGTTCATCCATATCAATTACATCTGAAAGGAAGATAAAAGTAATTACCAAACATTTGGTGAAACTAGTAAAGTCCAGAATGCAATTTAAAAACATAAAGTTCTAACCGTGTGAAATGGTATCACCAAGATCTTCAATGTAGCGTTGAATGGTGTCACCATGTGAACCCTTTAATATTTTAAATAAAGATAGCATGCACTGTTTCCAGTGTCTGCTGATCACAAGCAGAGATGATTTCCCCCAGTTAATCAAGTGAAAAAGCCATGTCATATCACTAGGGTCCGGAACCATTGTCATCATACTGAATAGCTCAGCACAATATGAGTTGACTCTGCTGTAGACTAGGGGAAGCAACTCAAGCACTCGAACACATGATATCTGAAACAAAACTGCAGATATGAAGAGGCAAAAAAAAAAGGATACACCTACTGATGTTAAAGATATTACTGCCGTACATATGTACCTGACATTGTTTGGTATTTATTAGCTCCTCTCCCTTTATCAGGCACGTGGAAATTAAAGGCCAGAGAGTTGCTGAAAGCAAAGTGCTGAACTTCTCCCAGGAAATAATATCTACAGCATGTTCTGGTGGGGTAATTGGTACATTTGAAAATGGTTGACGCAAGAAACCACCTTCAGAAGGTTTTGCTGGCTGTGGAATTGAAGGCTGTTGAGCAATGTCCTCCTTGACTAATTTGAATATGACAAAAAACAAGTGATGAAGACTATGAAAATCTGCCAAAAGTGACTGCCTTTCCACCTGGAATTCCAAAGAAGGAATTATCATGATTATTTTCAGCTTCAACAGAAAACATTGACAGAATGGGGTAAAAAGCAAGGGATAAGTTAGCATGTTCCCTCAATCCCCAAAACTGAACAACGCTATATTCCTTCATAACTTGGAAACAATCAAGACACTTCGAAACATTAAGTAAATCTTAGCATATGGTTCAAGTCAAGGTTCGGTTTCCTGCCGCAGCATTAACCGGTGCCCTACACTTCTCAAACACGCACACAAATTGTGTCATTTTGTATTAGAAGAAAATGTCAAGATGATGCCAGATTTCTTATATTGACTTCAAATGTTTTATACCAGTCTTAAAGTTTATTTAAAATTCAAATATGAACCTTTATATTTCAAAACTCAAATAGTCTGGAAGTGTCCACAACTCCACATCCCCTCCCTCTTCCTCTTTTTAGAACATATATGTGATAACCTCTTTTTTTTTTGTCAGCAAGAAATGCTCACCGTGTTCTGCAAACAAGTATAAGAGATACTAGAATACAGGTTTAGGAATGTATTGCTGCGCGGCATTTAGTTCCACAACCACACCATGTCATCTATTTGTTGTGTCCTATGTTTTTAAGGCGGTAAGGCGACCTAAGGCGCTGGGGGGGCGCCTTATCGCCTAGGCGACGCCTAAGCGCCTAAGGCGGGCATATTTGTAAGGCGCTGGGGGGGCGCCTTATCGCCTAAGCGACGCCTAAACGTCCAAGGCGGGACGCCTTAAAAACAGAGGTTGTGTCGCAAGACTTTGTTCTTGTTGATGGTTGCGACTTGGATGTGTGCATCCGAAGTTGGCTGTTGTTTTGACTTTTCACAACCATGACAAGTTGGAACACAAAAACTAGTTGCCGGTTTGAGTTTTCAGAGAGATCTGTATTAGCATCTAATGACATCTGTTCCTGAATGATTTAATCATTCTATTCAAGTTAGCAATGTTATGTTGGCCAGCCCATCAAAATGGAATATTGTGCCTTAATTAGGGTCCTAGTTGATTAAGCAAGTTTGTTAGCAAAGAGTTGAATCAGTTTAGAGATGGTATTAAAGCTTGAAGACTTACCAGCTTGACGATCAAGTCTGGTCTACTATATAAAGGGAACGACCCCTCTCAATAAAGCAGAGAAGAATATTGTCGTTTACTTCTATCTACTTTACAGTAATTAGGGCTACTCAGCAGTAGATCCTACCAGCAAGATCTGTGTACAAATATTCCGAGTTGTTTACAAGGTTTTTTAGATCATATGCAGTTATGCGCTGGCTTATAGTCGATAATCAGATAACTACCGCCTGGTAACTCATACTATTCAATTCAAATTTGGAATTTTGATCCATCGCTAAGCCAGAACCAGCTTGGAAGCAACCAGGTGAAATATGAAACCTCAGTTTATGCTCCAATTCCAAACTAGTTCCAATGACTAAAAAATAATATAGTCAAACATTACCAGCTGCACTGCATATCTTAGACCCACGAAAACAGCAGACAGTGAAGATGCACTCGAGCACAGAAATTGAAGCCCAGGAGTCAAACCCCGTGCTTGGGATACATGTTCCATGACAGCCCTCCCTGCTTGCCGCACATTCTGCATCAAGTACAATACTGAGTAATGCACTACTGCTAAATACTTATATGTACCAGGGATAGTATGGAAGACAATGGTAATGCTCTTACATCATTGGGATCAACTAGTGCCAAAATCAAGCTTTCCGCCATCATTGGTTCCCATGTCCATTGCTTTTGAAGCCCACATTGCTCAATTTGCATGATGACACGGATTGCAAATCTAAAAGATATTAATATCATGTAAGCATGATATACCAGGGAAATTTAGGGCTTAAGGTTTACAATCAGTAAAAGATATAACATGGCAATCTTGATATAATTCAGGAACACAAACTCAGATCACAAGGGATGAAACAGCGATCAACAAAATGGAGCCAACCTTTTAAATATTCTCAATAACAGGGTACCAAATTTTGACACCTTGAGAGTATTGATGCAATCCTTCCCACCTCCACCATCATCAGCACCATTTGGAACTTGCCATGAAAATGTTGACGAGACTTCTCCAGCATGTGACGATAACCAATCATTTACAGGCACTGACAAGTCCATAGCTAACCCAGGCTCCAAAATAGAAATATGAGATAGAGCCCAAAACACTGCTTTCGAAAAAGCCATAGGCAGTTTAGAGGGTTCCAACTGAACCATTACCAGATACCATAACAAAGGGACACATGTCCAATCCTTGCATCCCCTAAATGTCAACTTGTTCAGAGCTCTGAAATCACTCCAACAGCTGTACTCCTTTTCCGCGGTATCATCGGCAAAAGGCAATTCATCCTCGTCCTCGACAAACATGACAGAGTTGCTTGAATCACCCTTTGTGGCAGACTCATACTTCAGTTTAAAGGAAATCAAGGCAGAAGCATCAGAAACTATGAGAATATTGATGAGATCAAACGCAGGTTGACGCAGAGAACTATGCAAGGATGTATCATTTAACGAGCATATCAAAGATGGTCCCCTGTTTCACAAAATCAAGGTCAGTGGATGCCAGGCGACAAACAGAAAAACTAAGCTGGCCTCAAAATAGGTATAAAGAGTGGAATGCCAGAAGCAGTCTGCTAGAAATAAGTTAGTGATCTTCTCAAATTTAATCAGGGAGCAATGACATTGGGGAAATGCATGTACTTTCAAACAACAATTTTTAAACAGTAAGTAAAAAACTAAGGCTCTGCATTCTGCTAATATATTAAAATGTCATCTCCAACAGTTTGTTATGTCTAAGGCTAATTAGAGAAGACATTTAACATACTTGAATTACATTTTTCAGATTGGTAGGAATTGCCAGTATGATTGCTGTCTACAACTATTAGTTAATAATCCCTCGATGCGTATTGTTGGCGGCAGTACGCTCACCATCAGGCAACATGGCTTGTTGGGTCTGGCAGGAACATTTTAGATAAGTTTTGGGTATGGATGGTTTGACAATTGAGACAAATAGTAGTATGATCTTTTAGAACATGTAGTAAAACTGCTTTTAGTCCGTAACAAGTACCAATGTGTGGGCATCATGCTATTTATTTGAGATTTCACAGACCACAGATGGAGATTTTAGAAGCCTGATTGTCATCAGTACGTGATATGTTGGAAACCAGGGCTAGCTATAATACAACAATATAATACTCGCACAGCAGAAACATAATTAACAGCACAAGAATTCTACGAACCACCGGTGTATGGCATAAAAAGGCTTCAACGAACTATTAGATTGTGTCACACCCTCTACACTCATAGTAAGTGACCTAATAGATTGTGTCAAAGTCTCAAAGATAAGTACTGTTTGGTCATTACCACATATGGGCACATTCCGAGGCTGGGCAAGGAGGGTTCATTGTGTAGCCTCTTTGCACAATAAGAAGAGCAATCTGGAAGGAAATAGGTAAAAGGTATCAATAGCGTCAGGTAATAATCGTATATAATATATGCACTACCAGTAACCAAAATTACGTCCAATCAATAAAGTTTGAACTGTTAAGAAATGTATTTGCTGGCTAGATCTAGATCATTTCGTGCGGCTATTGATCATACTGTTCATACTATAAGGATAATATTACATCAAACAATGTAGCAGCATGGGATCACCATTTCTTAGAATCCCACAAGTATGTGAGCAGCTGTAAATGCATAGCATAAAAGCTTTGTGCCTATTCTGACATGAATCTACATTGTTTCTATTATGATTTCATCAGACATGCCACTTTCAAAATTAATGATCTAGGCACTGAAAAGAGGACTTTCTTGCATATTGGAATGTATAGCTGGTATATAAAACATTTCAAATTTGGTGCATAAATTTGTATGAATATATCATGCAAAAGAAGGTTAATTTTATTATGGAATTTTTAGAAACAGACAGAGTTCATGTACACAATATCTATACAAGGTAATCTCAACAATGCACAACTAAGAAGCACTACATCAATACAATAAACAGTTAGCTTGCCAACATAGGTGGCATAGCCTGCACATATTTGAGAAGGACTTGAATGACGCACAAGAAATTGTAGAACTACTCTTTTTGAGGAAAAACTGTAGAGAAGGCCCCGATAGTGTAATGTAAAGCGCTCACACATCCTAAGGTTTAAGTTTGACCGAGAACTGGACCAACATAATGTTATGCAACACAAAGGTGATATCATCAGAAAATGCTTCGGAATACAAGTCTAATAATATGATTTGTGTCACATAAGACATAACCCACATTTCATCGGTGTGATTCTCCGTGAAACTTGAATCCTAGACGTGTGTGCCTCATATTTTTGAAATAGAGGGGGTAATATTATAAAAAGAAAAGACTATATGTACAAGGCAAAGGGGATGTGGAGGAAGTGAAGAGCAAGGCTGGGACTGAACTATGAAACAGCAGAAGAATCAGTCAAGCCCTTGAGGAGGGTTGTAGACCCCCATGACTCTAAGAGATTGAATACGAAACTCTTTTCTGGCAGGTGCGACAAAGATATAACACTAGGGGGAATATTGTCGGAGATGCACTCCTTTGCTTCCAAATACGCAAGAGGCTCATCAAGAGTTTCCATGTCTACTAAGCACATTTAGTAGATCATTACTCGATCCCCACTAAATGCCACTCTGATTCCAGCAATTGTAGAACTACTCGAAATGGTTCATAGCTAGTCCTAACTGGTTCATGTGGATTAGACGAATAGTTATTTCTATGGTGGATGGATAGTGGTTACTGATCCCATAAAATAAAATAAAGGTTCCAAAGACACTTCTATTGATCCTTTTGACCACCCACTTCATCACCAGATGCAGTGAATTCCATACCACACTCGGCAGAGTTACAAATATGATCGACTGTAAAAGTATTGAGGTAGATCATACTTCATTTGTTCCAAAATCACTCACTCGTTTAGGTCTTTCAAAAGAGAACGATGAATTAATACAACAGTCCACCACACGACGTTGGTGTGAAATATATGCTCAGCCATCAATCAAACACAGTTCATTTAATGTGCTAATGTTGTTGCTCCTTTATTGCCTCCCCATTATCTAGCCGTTAATTATATTATTTGCAGATTAGAACTACTCCCTCCGACCGGAAATACTTGTCATCAAAATGAATAAAAGGGGATGTATCTAGATGTATATTAGTTCTAGATACATCCCTTTTTATCCATTTTGGATGACAAGTATTTTCGGACGGAGGGAGTATAACTTCAAAACCCAGAGCGATATTCAAATAGTCCAAAGTCTCAAACAAGCTATTGATAGCCAGAAAAATAATGAGGCAATACAAGAACATAAGTTTCTGCGAGCATTTGCATTGAATTTTTAAGAATTAAAGAAGTAAAGAGCCATCAAAAGAAGTTAACCTTAGTAGCATTTTTTCTCATCAGTGCACTGAAATTACTACTCCGAGTTACTTGATGAAGAAGAAAATACAGAATATTCCTCCGTTGCTTCTCATGTTCGCCATCTTGTAGAGCTTCAAGGGACTGCATAATGCACAAAGGAATTAACTTATCATAATTCATCAAGATGTGGAAGATAAGAGGGTCACTTCATAACGAAAGAGCAACAGACATGCCTGAAGAAACGGGATGAAAAGATCAAAAATTTCTTTGTGACTTTTCTCATCTCGAGTGTGAAAACACTGGCCCAATAATGTGTTCCGAATAACACTAGGTGATAGCGTTGTTCTCAACCAAAGTTTGCAGCCTAAAACAAAGGTGCGTAGTTATGCAAAGGTGCAGGCTTATAGCATACTCATAGGCCATCAGGAACTCAATAACTACACTTACCAAGCATTTCAAATGATGCTTTGAGGCAACTAACAGCACATGATAAATCGAATCCGTCATCACTGACATGGTTAAGTACAATATTCAGGAAGATAGGGTATTTCTCCAAGATTCCATCTTCAAAAGCAGGTGCCTCGAGAAATCCAAGGCTGCAGACATACCCAATATATTAACAGATGCAATATCTATTATACTAGTCATGCAATTCATGTGTTAAACTTACATACAGTGATTTAAATCCAAGCCAAACATCAGCCCTTTGGAGCTGCACCCTGGGCCTTGAAGATTCTGGAGTAGATGGAAGAACTTCAGCATCCAAGAAATTGATATACTTTTGCAGTAAGGGTTGCAGTGGTTCCAGGTCAACCGCTTTCCTGCAAATGATTGATAAAGCAATTACAGACAGTATATAGTTATTATTTATTAAAATCAGACAGTGTTATGCCAAACCCAAAATGCTTATCCTGAAAGGATAGTTTTAGCACTTGATCAAAGTCAACTACTCATGTTGAGTTAAACAGGTGAGATTTCACCAAATTTAAGACTCTTTATTAGATTAATAGAATTAATGTTCTAGGCTGTCGAAGGTTGTGTAAAAGACAAGAAAGTCATACAGAAAAGTATGCTTTTGAAGGGCATATAACCAGATAGGAAAGAAGCATTTGGATATTGGAGAATATATCATATAATATTTCCTCCGTTCCCAATATAGTGTGTATATCAGCATTAATAATATCGAATAAATACAATATAAAAATATGTTTCATGGTCTATCTAATGATACATCTATACGCACTATATTTTGGAACGGAGGGAGTACATTATATTTGTGAATTTGGTCTTGGCAACATGTCCTGAAAGAAAAATTGGTAGCACTACCACCTATCTTAATTATTGTGAGGCACTAAAAATAACCAATACATGAAAGGAGATTAGTTTCCTTAAGCTTAGTTTTTGTTGTTAGCCCGTTACCTACCCAGCACTGTCTAATATAGAAATTCAATTTTAGACAATATAGAGAAGATATGTATGAACAAAATGCACTTTCCACAAGATACTCACCTTAATAAGAACAATACATTGATTTGGCATGTTGTCATATTTCATTTAGGGCTGGTACCTCTTAAGGGCTTGAGAAGTACAGACTAACATGGATTTCAAGACTGCAAGTGTAAGGTTTATTAACAACTATGACCAAACCAAAAACAGGATCATCAACCACATGCTTGATATCTCTGGGCACAGTTTATTACTTTTGCCTAGTTAAAGCCTACTCCCTCCGTTCGGAATTACTTGTCACAAAAATGAATGTATCTACAACTAAAATACATCTAGATACATTCATTTTTTGGATGAGTAATTCCGAACGGAGGGAGTACATTCCACAACAACTTCTGTGAATCAAAACGATTATGAAAATGACAGGTACGTCACCTTAATTTCCCCATGGATCGGGATAAGCGAAGACCAATAGCCCGAGCTTTACCACTTTTGAAGAAAAGTAATGCGTAAACACCCTGCAATGTAAGTTTAACCATGGTGTGAGAAACTATATTTCAAGCAATGAGCAAAAAATAATTGGTGAACACCCTACTTGATTGTTTGAAACGACTGAGTGAGACATTACTTGTAGTGTTATGAGCATACATCAATGGAAAGAAGCAACTTACAGGATATTGCTGATTAGTTGAAAGGCTCACTTCATATGATTCATCAATTGTTTCAATGAACTTCTGGAACTGATTAGCCAGTGATTGGTCATCTAATAGAACAGGATACATCAAAACCTGTAAATAGATTAAAACAACAGTTTACCATGATAGCCGTGAAACTTAAGCCTGAAAACTATGTGACTGTTTACACAAAGAGATATGATTCATCGTATACTGATTTTGACCACTTTGCATATCAAAAATCAGCTAATTTCGTAAGTACAGAACTTTCCAAAAAAAACTACACATCGGTGCATAAAAACAGCCCTCTGTATGGCATGCGCTGAGCATTTCATGTGGGGCTCTTTAGATGCTCGTCTTACATATCTTAAAAGCAATTAGGGAGAAAAACAATGCTGAATAAATACTAGTGTGGGTAGATATTCTCCAATAGCGCTGTCACTGGTGTATGGTTACAAAGGCATACTTCATGCTGATATTTGTCAGAAAAATAAGCCTGGCAATAAAATTTATAGATATGTTTCACAGGGCAATCGGTACTGTTAATGTTGCATAAGAGGAGGGGGGAAAGTATAACATAAATGGAACATACTTCGAACATTATGCAAACAACTTCTGCACCATGACAGGAAGGGTCATATTCCTTGAGCTGAATCATTGCATTTATCTTTTCTAGGTGCTTCGTAACCCTCTCTTCATCAAGATGCCGTAATACTTTCTGGAGGGGGTCAATACTACCTGACCGACATTCAATATCAAAAGATTCCTGTGCCTGGTGGTGTTCACACACACACTGTGTACAAATGCCCAGTTCTTGAGAAATCCGTGACCATATTGTTCTAACGAGTGAGTTTTCCTGCTCATCAAAGTAACCATGGAACATTTCTAAAAAAGGTCCCATAATATCAGCATATCCACACCAAATATGCTCTTCTTTTGGCAAACTTTCTAGAAAATCAAAACAATGTGAAAACCTGCAGGTGATTCAAGAAATCAAGTTAGGTTTTGTTAGGATCATCAGAGAAATTATCAATTTTATAAAGAGTACCATCAACTAGCTACTCCCTCCATTCCACATACGAATTCAGTGATATAATTTTTGCTCCCGCCGCAGTCGGTCTCGTTGGTTAAATTTACAGTCAAACTTGGATCTTGGGAAGCGCGGGCGCACTACATTGTGGAATGGAGGGAGTACTAAAATAGATGAGAAACTCTTGACTCCAAAAATAAGGCACGTTGCAGGGAAAAGAACAAATTCACCCATTTCCACTATTTTTGGTGTACCAATGCAAGTCAGTTCCCAGTATAGACCACCAAGACTTCAACCAAAGTAACACGACACAATTTCTTCACAACTGCACAAACTCAAGCCTCTATCAAGATATAGTTCAAGCTGCTTTCTTAATTTAGAAAAAATTAGCAACGTTAGTTTTGCTTTCCTGAAAACACCATTAACAGAAGTACATAAACAAGAACTCATGATACGTGGGATGGAGTTGACAAGTTGAATCTAGATCCTTGAATTTGGTATCCAAAGTGGTATATTTTTGGAGTATTCTATTAGTTGATGGCCAGCTATGACATTTCGAATTTCAAATTAATCTCCCTACTACAAGAAATTCTGTAGTCAAACCCAACAAGTCTACATTGTAATCATTCAGTTTTGCATATCAGAAGCTCATGTACAATATATCATTTGGACTCCAAACTTGGTGCCCACAGGACTACTTTTGTGCGCATTGTAAATCTGCTAAACAATGTGATCTCCAAACTCCAAAGTTCACAATTCCTATCAACACAAAATAGTACCAGTAGACTTCCAAAAGCACGAATTCCACAGTATCAATGCTCCTACTCGCATTGTCAACAAACTCTGAAGTCTGCAGGAGTTCTCATCGCACAGCATAGGCGCATAGCTAGCTCTATCTGTGTTACCTAATCCAACCGAGAACCGACCAAATAAATTCAGAGACTCGCCCCTATGCAGCTTAAGCTGCCTAATCCCCGTCAGCGCAAGCATTACTACTGCATTGCATTGCTCATCCCAACCGGCGGTACCCTAAACCTGGGCCGCGACCACTAAACCCGCGCGATTCATTCGTGAAGCGGGGAGCGACTAGGGGCGGAGGGCCGTACCACTGCTCCTTGGCCTGGTTGAGGCGGCGGCGGCGATGGTTGGCCGCGGACGGGTCGCCGCGGTCGTCGTACGCCTCCTCGTCCTCCTGGATTCCGCGCCACTGGTCGAGCAGCAGGCCCCGCCGCGCCGCCCCCATCGCCGCGTGCGGCGGCGGGTGATCGGCGGCGGGACGGCCGGGGGTCTCTTCGTAGGGTTCCGGTGGTGGTGGTGGCGGCGATGCCGCGCGCGCGAGACACGAGACGGAAACGGCGTAGTGGGGCTTCGGAGCCGAAATGCGATTAAAGGAAAAGAAAATCGATTGTGACTAGAAAAGTTTATAGAGAGTCGGCGGTGCGCCTCGCAGATTTCCTGGTGTTTTCGGTGCTCCGAATTGTTGGGGAAATTTTACGTCAGGAGGCGCTGCCGCCCAGGGTCACCTCGTGGGGAAAATCCCTTGTTGCACTATTACGGCAAACGGCAGCCCCATCCCGCATGTATTAGTACCACTAGTCACATTTGTTGCAAGTTAGTATCAACTCTCGGACTAAGGGGGTGTTTGTTTTCAGGGACTTTTTGATGTAGGGATTAGAAAAAATCCCTAACAAACCAAATAGGGTGGGACTTTTTTGAGACTTTTTGCTAAAAGTCCTTAGAAGCACCTCCTTGAGAGTCTTTTTCAAAAAATCCCGAGGACTAGAAAAAGTTCTAGGACTAGAGAAACAAACACCACCTAAGTGTTGCAAAACGGTTTGACAGCCGTATAAGCACGTATCGTCGTGTATCTGATTGAGCGGCCCCACCTGTCAGGTGACACGCTGGCCAACCCACGCGCGTCGCTCCGCTGAGTACGACGAAGCCGGCTCGGACGTTGTAACTGGCTGGGCCTGGTCGAACCGAGCCACCCACCGCACCCTCTTCCTCGGTTCGCCGCCTCGCCCTCGTCTCTCCCATTCGTCACTGCTCGTCCCGCAGTCCATTGCCACCACTGTCGCGCCATGGTGTTCGAGGATGAGAGCAGCAACGACTCCAGCCTGCAGTACATCAACTCCTCCAACAACGGCATGCAGTACCAGGTCAGTGGTAGAGGTAGGGTTAGGGTTAGGGTTAGGGTTTCTGATTTGGGGATTTGGGGATTTGGTTGACTGATTTGGCGTTTTTGGTTTATTTTGCTCCTAGGG